CCCGTCCTTGCCCTCGACCGGCGGCAGGATGTCGAGGACGCCGAGTACGTTGAGGTGGGAGAAGTGCAGCTGGATCTTGATCTCGCGGAGGAGGCGCTTGCAGTCGGTGGTGTCCTCGAAGGCCTTTGGGATCTTCTTGATCGCCACCGGCTGGTACGTGCCGTTGGGAAGCCTCCGCCGGCCCGCGCACACCAAGCCGTAGGCGCCTTGGCCGACCGCCTTGCGCACCTGATACTCCTCGGTCACCTCGAAACGCATGCCGCACATGGTGTAGAGCTTGGTGCCGTGCTCAGTGAGCACGTACTCCTGCTCGTTGAACGATTTGGAGCTGGTGGCTGCCATTTGGAGCCGAGCAGGGGCCGAGCCGTGAGGACACGGCCTCTTGCAGATCAAACGCGGCGCGAACGTTTTCTTTTCTGAGCAGCCTTCGAAACAAAGGAATACTTCCCTCCCTCTCGGTTGCAGAGCGAAATGCCGGGGTCAACTACCTACTCACTTTTGGGCCAAAAATTGCCAGAGCCCTGGATGTGAGGCTACCAACTGCAAGAAGAAGAATGCCGAGCGCAAATCACTCTGTGTGACACATTTCTTGTTGGCTTCTAAAAATCTCCAACTGCACTCCAAGTGCTCCAAGACCTATCAGCGAGGCTCTGTCTCTGTTTGTCCCTATTTCTAGTCCCGTGCCCCCAGTGTAGAAAGACCGTGCCCCCACGCCCCACCGCCCGCACCCCCCCCACCCCTCCCCGCCGCCGCCTCCGCCTCCACCCACGTCACCCACACGCCCTTGCCCCCGCCCACACCACCCCTAGCCGCCCTCGCCACGTCGTTGCCCACGCCGCCGCCCCCTCAGCCCTTACAGCCGCCCTCGCCGTTCGGCCTCGCCGTGGCGTTAGAGTACCCACGCCGCCGCCCAACTCACACCGCCACCGCCCTTTTGCCGCTGCCACACCTGGCCCACATACCGCCGGCGCCCTTGATTAGGCACCGCCGCCGCCCTCGCCACCGTTGCCCACAACCGGTTCCACGCTGCCGCCCACGCGCCACGCCGCCGCCGGCGCCGCCTGTGCCAACGCCACCGCTGCCCTCCCCACGCGAGCACCCACCGACCCACCTCGCCGGCTCGCCGCCACCCATGCTGTCGCCGCCCTCACCCCTCTGCCGACCGCGCTACAACTGGCTAACATCTGGCTTGGGGGTACTCCATGGCTTCACCCGTTCTGCGCCGTGTCTCA